TTCTTATGGGGTCTTATATGGTTTCTTATGGGGTCTTATGGGGTCTCTGATGGGGCAGGTTTTAAACGTCTTGCTTAGACCAATGACCCTCTCTACATGAATCCTCTTAGATGCGATACGTCTATCCCTAACAACTGTGTCTGCATTAAGTTGGGATTTTCCTTTGAGCATTGACGGCGTGTTTACATGCACATTACAGCATCAACCTTGTGTCTCTTTCTTTCGTCTAAAAATAAGACATATTTAAGCAAACGTTAATAAAAATATATTATTAAAAAAATGCGTGGTGGCAACGAAGGGCTATAGCCTATAGCACTCGAGAGCTAATCTCAATATAACAATAATAAAACATGTAGAATGAATGCCGGTGATTAATATAGCCAAGTACCTGGTACCAGGTACTGGTACCTCGTACTAGAGACACCTGGCCTCGATTATTTACCAATTACCAGCTGAACGTTGCCACTGGCATTGTCCTATTATCATTATACTGCTCTGTAGCGATAAATGCTGTCAATGATAACACTAACAGTTGTTTTTATAATCTAGACTGCATGGAATACGCAAGAAAACTACTGCAAACCTCAAAGTCAAAATGCGCTAATAACTAATGTTTATAAGCTATTTTCGATATTACACTTACTTAAAAGTGTGCTAGTATAGTCAGCCTCTCTGAAGTGATCGCTGCAGACTTTACGAAGGCATTTTAACTTGGTTATATCGCTATGATGATACGATCGGCTATTCGTGATTCCTGTATCTTTCCAACTGACCGGTTGATTGCGCAATCGTTGTAACACCTCTAACTCCCGCTGCGCCACCTGCTGACAAAGCTAGCGGCTAACCCCGTTATAATATCGATAAATTTGCCGTAAAATGAATATCGTTCGGTTAAATAGCATTTAGGTATAAATATAATTGCACTTTTGTGATTAGCCCTCGGTCTGTAATGTGCAAAATAAATTGTCAAATACGCAACTTTTTCGGGGTGGCAGCACGGTCGTGGGTGTCATGGCGCCATTCAAATTTCGTAGCGTTGATGTGTAATTAATTATAACAATTAAATTAGTATCTGGTAACAAATACGTGTGGGTATACTGTCGTATAGACGATTTGTTATACAGTAAGTACAGTTGTATGCAGTAAAATCCTAGAGTCTACTATCCCTTTAAATACACTTTCCTACCGGCCACAGCAGCGCCTGTATAGGCCTATGGGCATTACCGCGCGTGAATAATAGCTAATTAATTAGACTAATCGTGCATCAATAAACTCGAAACCCACAGGGATTATGGCTAAGACATGTGTCTACATGCATGTAGAATTCTACAATTATAACTCNAAAATTTCTGCTTGCCCTCGTTCGGTTTATTATAACACATATACAACCGCGAGTAACTTATCTATATCCCGAACGCTATATATTCAGAGCTATGATGCACCGATATTAAGCCCAAATCGCAAATTATGAAGACATTTTAAGGTATCAAATCTGGCGTTCATGATGTTCCTCAACTAAGAGATTTTTTTGAGGAGCCCAAAAAGTGTTGAGCCGCCTGGAACCCCCCCCTATGGGCACCGGTAATGGGACCCGATAACGTTTTTCCATATCTTTGCCTTCTTTGGTACGATTTGAACATAGTTAGAGTCGATTTAGCGGTTTTAAAAATCAAGGAATCGACTTGGACGATGTTTGCGAACCTAAAATTTGTTAAAGTCACGTGATATCGTTCTTCGGTTCACCTCGCAAGCCCGAAAAATGGCCGGTTTTTACATATTTCGCGC